GTGTGGGTGTGATGCTTGTCTGTACGTTTTTACTTTTTAAAAGCCATCTGTAAAATGTTGTTCAAAACCCATATGGTTTTCCTGAGATGTCTGTGTTGTTTGTTTTGATACGTTTGTGCATTGCAGAGTTGTCTTTATGGTTTTCATAGATGTCTGTGTATTGTGTTATTGCATATGTTTTTTTTTTTCATTTTGTACTTGTCTATAAGCAATTGCGGATTGTAGAGTTGTGTATATATGTCCCCTGAGATGTCTGTGTTGTTTGTTTTGATACGTTTGTGCATTGCAGAGTTGTCTTTATGGTTTTCATAGATGACTGTGTAGTGTGTTATTGCATATGTATTTTCATTTTTTACTTGTCTATAAGCATTTGCCGATTGCAGAGTTGTCTATATAGTTTTCATAGATGTCTGTATTTCTGACAAATGTCTGTATTTGCAGGATGGTATTGAAGATTCCCATCAAAGACTACTTTCCCGCACAATACTCTGTGCACTCTGACTACGAAGATGCCTTAGAACTGCTTAGTGAATGTCTAACCTTGCAAGATCGATGAAAGATAAGAGGCGTGAGTATGCTAAACGCCTATGGAAGATGAAAGACAATCAAGCTAAATGTCTGTACAATGATGAACAATGATGGCAAGATCGATGTTGTAAAACAATTATTTTTGTATATGTAATTATTAAAAACACATTGGGGGTAGATGTATTTTTTGACATACTGGTGGTTAGATGTAGTATTTTGTACAATAATGACCGAGCCATGTTGTACAATAATTCTACAATGTGCTTCCAATATGTTTTTGTCTGTGGCATACGTACAGGAATGTCTGTATATTTTGCGGTTGTCTGTGTAGCTAGTAGTACACATTGATATGCATTTTGGTTGTACTTCGGCAAGCATTTATTGCAACATTTTATGATAATTGTTGTGGAGTACTATCATTTGATTCATATATTTGATTAGTAAACACTAAGTGTCTGTATTATTGTGGAGTACTATCATTTGATTCATATATTTGATTAGTAAAAACTAAGTGTCTGTATTATTCTGCATTTTGTCTGCATTTTTTCTGTATAATTCTGTCTGTATTATGCAAAATAATTGACTGTAATGTGATGGATTTGATTATTCTGCATGTTGGAATGAAAGTGTAGTTGGAATGAAAGTTGATAATGTTTATACAAGTTTTGTCTATGTACAGACAATTGCTATATAAATTTTAAGGTGAATTGTGTGCGACATGAATAAAAAATTTCGAGTTACACAATTTTAAGGTGAATTGTCCATGTAAATGTCATTTTCCCAAATGAATAAAAAGGATTTTTTGTCAAACAACTATTATATTCCACAACAAATTCTATTACACTTACGTTTGAAATCCAATAACACCAAAGACATATCAATTTTCATAACGTATATGATACATCATTGAAAATCAAGCAAATCTAAGTACAATTACATTCTACAAACAATAACATTAACTTCAGAAACTATTAATTACAAGTATTAAATTAAATATTTAGTTATCAATTTATCGTGTTCCTTCATCCTCTCATTCTTGCATTGGAGCACATCAAACATCCATAAACCTTTCTTTATCCGTGTATAGGTTTTGTCATAATTGGAATTCAAAACCTGACGATAATCTGCATCTTGAAACAATACAACAAAACATTCTATTAATAAAGAGGTCCAACGATCGAGTTAAACTCATAATGATATTTTTGTTCAACTAAGCAAGTACAAACCAAGATCATTTACACATTAGGCCTAACCTCAAAATACTGATCAGACAAATAAAAATTTAATAGCAATTGTTTTGAATCAGTTGAGCAGAGAATTGTATCTTTGCAATTCCATCCTAAAAAATTGCACACAACCAATGCTGACAGACATCAGACACCTCATGAAAACCATATAGACAACTCAAAAATGCACAACGTATAAAAACAAAGTACACAAACATCTCAGGAAAACTAAATAGACAACTACACAATAAACAAACATATATTAACACACTACACAGACATCTCAGCAAAACCATAAAGACAACTCTGCTAGCCGCAAACGTATAAGAACAGTGTACACACACATCTCAACAAATCCTTATAGACAATTAAAAAATGCGCAAACATATGCTAGAACACTACACAGACATCTCAGGAAAACTATATAGACAACTACACAATGAACAAACATATAAAAACAAAGTACACAGACATCTCAGGAACAGCAAATAGACAAGTCTACAATGCACACACATTTTAGAACACAGGATACAGACTTCTCAAATCGAAATACTATAAACATAAAGGCAAGCATCACAGCCACACAGACATCTCATAAAGGACATAAAGACAACTCTAAATCCACAAAAATATAACAACATATTACACAGACATCTCAGGAAACCCATAAACAGAATTCTACAATGCACAAACACATAAGAACACACTTTACAGACATCTCAAAATACATAGAACAGGGAAATCCACTGGAGCTCTATGAAGGACATACGAAATGCAAAAAACAGGGAACTCTAAATCCACAAACACATAACAACACACTATATCGACATCTCACAAAACCCATCTCAAAATGCAGAAATTTAAAAAATTACAAAAAAAAGGGAACTACAAAGTATTAAGAACTACAAAAGAAGTTGGTTTTGCAGATCTTTACCTCTGAACTACAATGATGTGCGCACCATGTCCTTCGTTCATTAGCCATGGATGACCATTGAAGCCTTCCACTTTAAAATTTCAGATTAGCCCTTCGAATTCAGTCGCCGCCGTACCAGTTGAGCGGAGTGAAGCGGACGACGGTTGGATGGATTTCGTCGATTCAACTGTTGCGCGGGACGGCGGGTTTCGTGACTTGCGAACGGAGAACAGAGAGCGTTGTTGGGTTCTTGGGTTTCGTAGGTGTCAACTTCGACGGACGAACGGAGAAGAAGAGGGAGAAGGGTACGGGTGAATGGAGAAGAAGAGGGAGTGGGTAGCGGTTTTTTTTTGTGGGGTGACGGGAAAGAGAAGGGCGCATGGGAGGAGAAGGGGAGTGGGACGGGTTAGTTTAGAAGGAGGGTGGGGTGAGATAGTTAGAAAAAGGGTGGGTGGGCTTTTTATGCTGTGTACACCGGTGTGTAACCGGGAGTGTACACAGCGACTTTTCCTTCTATAAATGCACTACACATTAGTGTCAGCCTTTACTCCTATGGAAAAGTCGCTGTGTACACTCCCGGTTACACACCGGTGTACACAGCATAAAAAGCCCACCCACCCTTTTTCTAACTATCTCACCCCACCCTCCTTCTAAACTAACCCTTTATAGAAACGAGTGCAAAGTTTGTAAATTGGATGGAATATGAAATTTTCCAGGAATAGTAATGTTGGAGGGAAAATGGACTTTGTTTGCTGATTTTGTATCGTGTACGAGAGTTGTAATAGAAACATTGATATGATTGCAAATGATGTTTTCTCTTTGAATAGATAAGTGTTACCCTTTTTTACTATTCATTTACCTTTTTCATTTTTTCGGCTGCCACATCTCATCAAGGGTAGTATTGCAAAGTTAAATACGGAGTATATTTTTTCCAACATAAAAACTTTGAAGTCAATTCTGAAAGGGAATATTACTTCATAGAATTAAGTTCAAATGAGAAAATAATCTTAGGAGAGAAATGAGAATAAATTTGGATCATTAGATTGTTTTTGTGAACTTGAATGTACATTATCGAAAACTAAAATGTGCATTCAGGGGTGGACCGGAACCGGTCGGACCGGCCATTGTGCGGTACCGGACCGGCCCGATTGATCGGGACCGGGCCTAGGACCGACCCGGGGGTGTTTTGGAGGCGGGCTCGGGCTGCAGCCCTCTTGGAACCGGCCCGGCCGGTCCGGGCCATAATTTTTTTTTTTATTTTTTTTCTCGAACGGATTGGGTTGAATTGGATTGGGCGGGGTGGTTTGGGAGTGTGGGGGCAGGGGGTACGAATAAATAAGAAAATAAAAAAATTACACCCGGTCCCGGTCCGGCCCCGAAAGCTACCCGGGCGGTGGTGGACTCGGGTTGAGCCACTCGGCCCGTGGACCGGCCCGGCCCGCTACTGTGCGGGACCGGAACCGGCCTGGTTCTCGGGTCTGGGTCGGGCCTAGGCCCGGGGGGCGGGTCCGGGCTCGGGTCTTACAATTGGCGAACCGGCCCGGCGGGGTCGGGTCTGGGCCAAATTATTTTTTTTTTCTTTCATTTTTTGGTTAGGAGGGGTTTGGGGGGTGGGGGGTTAGGAAAGCAACAAAAAAAAATAGAGGCCCGGCCCGGACCCGGTGGCTACCCGGGCCGGTCCCAGGTCCACCATTTATGAACCGCCGGCCCGCCCGAGCCTAGGCCCGACCCGGACCCGGCCCGAGTCCATGCCTGCCCGGGCCGGTACCGGACCTCCAACTTCCAACCCCAATCTGCCCGTGACCCGACTCGGGCCCGGTCCAACACTATCTGCATTAGATGAAGCCAAAATGTGCAACACATAAAGTACATCATAGTGATATTATGTGATGACATTTTTGTGCTTTATTCCGCACATTTCAATTTCTCGTAATGCACATTTGAGTTTTCCTTTTATTCTACACATTTCAATTTCATTTAATGAACATTTCAATTTTACCAAATGCACAATTCAATTTCATTTAATGCACACTTCAGTTTTACTGAATGCATAATTCAATTTCATATAATACAATTTACCACTCTCTCACTTCATATACTCCGTATATGATACTTAAAACTCCATCCGTCCCCCTAACTTTGTCCCGTTTTACCTTTTTTGTCCGTCCCATTAAGTTTGTCACATACCATATTTGATAATATTTAGGTGGTTACAATTCATTCTTACTTTATTCACACTTTACAATTCGATAATTCAATGTCAACCACACAATTCTACTTTTTTCTTAAAACCCACACCACACTCCTTTGTCCCAAACTTAGGGGGGACGGAGGTGTAATTCATATTGTAATGTGGAATATCATTTTTGTATTCTGTTCGATTTTTGTATATCCATACAACCCAAACGATTTTAGTAAACATTCAACTTATGATGAAAATGGTAGAAATGAAAAGGCAACATAATGATGTTTGGTGTAACTAATAGATTGCCTAAAGGCGAATGAGGGGTGAGATGATGAGATCTAACAAACATAAACATTAACTAATTCAAACTGAGAACCAAAATGGTTTCTGAAGATTCTTTCTAGGCAGCTAATTAGTACTCTTTCTGGGAGTAATTAAGCTCGTTTCAAGAGAACCACCATTATCACCATCACCGCCAATCCCATGAATGAAGCTCCGATTGCCTTGTCCACACCACTCACTTTTGCACTTCCGTCGCCGCTTCCCACTACACTGTACCCTCCACTGAATATATTTTCCAGGTAACCAGATAAGCTGTTTATCATATCTACCACAGCCACCTTGATATTCTTGAAGAAATCGGCAAACCCACTCCCAGTATGTGCTGGCTTATCTATGCTTTTTGATGCAGCTTGGTATGGTGCATCATTCTCCCCTACAGATTCCTCTACTCCCACATTGTCTCCGCCGGGATGGCAAGGACCTGAGGTTTCAAGACGTTGATTGACTATAATAATAACCAAATCATGAAGTAGGAGACTAGGAGAAGAGGTTATTAAATGACTTAACAATTTCCCCACATTGTGTACCCGATAGGGTGTTGGAAATACTTTTCAACAAGATCACAAAAAATACTGGTAATAACTAATAAGGAATACTATTTTAGGAATTTTGGATAAGAGAACGGTACAAAAAGGAGAATACAAGAATCTACTTCAAATACAAAGATTTCAACAATATAAAGAAGACTGCATCCCCTCTCTTTTTTGGATATACTTTTGAAACAAATAATACATTTTTTATGTGAAAAAAACGGTCTAAAGGAGAGATGGATTGATAAATAAAGGCGTTAATGAGAAATAGGATAAGAGATGGCCTGTTTTACCGCTTTTGAATGTTGTAAGGAACTTCTGCAGCTCAGGATTCACCATCACAGCGCTGTGAACATTTGGATCACAAGCAATTGAAGCAACAACATTCTGGAAAACAACATACCAGAGTCAGAATTTTAGAGTCTAATTCAAAGGTTCCATGTTGATTGAAGAGGAAAAAATGGTAAACATCACAGGCAAAGGTAAAGGGTCACAGACTCAAACCAATCTATACATAATCAAGGTAAGGAAACACACGTTTTTGTTTTACAGAATTACAGAGATACAAGTACTTTCCTATACAACATCCAAACCTTAGTCCCAAAAGAGTTTGGGGTCACTAGTACTATCATATACGGAGTACCTAATTAAGAACATCGTTAGAACAGCAAACAATTAACAACATGTCAACATCAATGGCGCGAAACAAACCTGAGCAGCAGAACTTTCACATAGTAACATGAACGCCTGAAAGGCATTTGTTGGTGCTAAGCTCTTAATAACTGCTGTTTCAGCATTAACACAAGATTTAGTGTCCACGTCATTCGAATTTGAAAACAGATCTGCACCAGTGGCTCTAGAACCTCCAAATTTGTTTTTAGGAGACAAAAACACGCTGGAATGTAATTCATTCAGGCAAACATGTCAATTAACCCAACACGATCACTACACATAAGCAAGAAGTAATACACAACAACAACAACATCACCCCACTGCCGCAAAGGCTGCCACCTCCAGTGATGGGGTGAGGGGGTCGGATGTACACAGCCCTTACCCCTATACTAAAGGGGGAGAGACTGTTTGGGGATGAGAATGAAAATGGAGTCGAAAATTGCATGAAGGCTTCATAACAAAGAAGCAATCTGACAACAATATCTACTTCTCAACACAAGACATTCAGAATACATAGAAAGTATGGTCCGGGAAAAATCATTAGTCATACATCATAAATGAAGTTATTATTCAATATATCGTAAATAACATGAAATTCAAAGTGGAAAGGAACAATTTTACTTCTCAATAGCCTCTTTGAGGTCAGAGGTGGCCTCTTTGGCTTCCTGGAGAGTAGGCGTGCCCGAAAAAATGAGCCGTGGAGGTGGCCCCTCCTCTACGTCTGGAAATTCCCAGTCATCAAACTCCGAACAAGGCATCTGCACGGACGCGCCATCCACCGCCGAAACAGGGAGCATAAGCCCCTTGGCATCGTCCGAAGAAGAAGATCCGGCGAAAACGGAGACCGGACGAACGGCCATACGCGCAGCGGCACATACTGGATGGTCCGGCACGAATCCTCGAACGCTGTTAGCAACGCCGATCCCGGCAACCTTCGCCGCCGCCTTCATCGCTCCTCCGCCACCCATACCGATCGCGGTTTTCTAAGATGCGAAAAATGATTGCAATTCAGCTTCTCAAGGGAGTGGATGATCGCGGAGAGAGTTAACTTATCAAAGTAGATAATACGGAGTCACCGGAGTGACGCAGTAGCGTACGACGCGTGTGAAACGCGCACTTTGGCGGCTGATATTATTATCCTTAAAATAAAGCAAGACTTAAATACTTCATTCATATGCTTTTAGAATGATTTTAAAGACAATTACATTTACATCAATCAATCTATCATACTCCCTCCTTTCCCAAAATGTTTGCTAAATTGACTTTTCTTGTTCAATGATAATCAACTTTGATTAAAGATATTTTTTAATAGGAATTTTATCAATCCAGAACCTGAAAGATAAACGAATTATCAATCCGGGACCTGAAAGATGAAATGCATCGATATAGGACCCGAATGATGAAAAACTATCAATTTAGGACCTGAATGATTGAAAACTATCAATCTAGGACCTAAGTTGTCATAAATTTTGTAATTTTTTTTTATTTTGAAAATTTTAAATATTATTTAGTTTTATTAAACTAATAAACTTTTGTGAAGAATTTTCAAAAAAAAATTAGTAATGGAATTAATAAAAAATTAAATAAATCAAAACCTTTGAAATGTTAGGTCCTAAAATGATAGTTTTCCATCATTCGGGTCCTATATCGATACGTTTCATCTTTCGGGTCCTGAATTGATAATTAATCTATCTTTCGGGTCCTGAATTGATAAAATTCCTTTATTATATACAAATATAATAGGTAAAATCTTCGTCCAAAGTTTGTCATCATTGACCAAAAAAAGTCAATATGACAAACATTATTGGGACGAATGTAGTAGTACTTTGACCGGCACGAAAAATAATAAAGTAGAAATTGTGTAAGTGAGATTTGTGCAGAGGAAAGAGAAATAACAGGAACCACAAATAATTGATTAAAAGGAAAAATTACAAAGTTAAAGAAAAGATGACAAAATTTTAACGGACGGAGAATTATAAAATTAGTACACAAATCACTAGTTCTTATTTCCTTTGCACACTTAGACCAGATCATATGATCTCATGTGCTATATATAAAAGATAAGCATTGAATCATACTAATTGTAGTTTTTTATGATTTTATTACACTATCAGATTGTCATGATGAGTACTACCAAGCCTGTTTGAGACACTTCTAGGTTGAGTATTTTAGTTAAAGAATGTCAGGAAATACTGTGTCCACAAAATTTTAGGTTAAAATTCAATCGAGAAATTAATTAAATAAATTATTTAAAAGCAGTGTTTTTTATATGAGGTGTGGGCGCACTGTTTTTTAATAATTTGATTATTTCAATTTCGAAATTAATTTTAAACTGAAATTTGAGAACTTAATCATTCTTATAAAAATGTTATCAAACAAAATTTGACCCGAAAGCTAACCAGGCATTGATGTTAAGGGTATGTTTGGCACAACTAGCTGAAAAGATACTTTTGTGAGCTTTTTAGTAACTGTTAGCTTTTAGTGACTGAAAAGATCTTAAAAAGAAAAGGTGATAGCTGTTTGGTAAAAAGCCGACTGTTTGATTTAGTTTGGTTTGGTATACAAGCTGTTAGGACTAATTAATACTAAAAGTCACGAGCTTTTCTCAGATGCTACACCCGGTAGCATCTCAAAAAAGATCTTTTAATTTTTGAAAAGCTCTTAAAAAATGTCATGCCAAACATGCAACTAGAGTCTTTTAACTTCTTTTTAAAGAATAGAGAAGTTAGAAGCTAGAGGCTTTTGTGTGCCAAACATAGCCTAAGAGTATGTTTGGCACAACTAGCTCAAAAGAATGAAAGATACTTTTATGAGCTTTTTAATAAGTGTTGGGACTGAAAATATCTTAAAAAGAAAAGGTGGTAGCTATTTAATAAAAAACTGAATGTTTGATTTAGTTCGGTTTGGTATACAAGATTACAAGCTGTTAGGACCTTAGTTTTAAAAGGCACGAGGCGGCTTGAGGCGATTTCATTGATATACCCGAGGTGCTAGGCGGTGAGGCGTGTGCCTCACGGATCTCAGCCACATTTTTTTGGTGAAATATATTTTTAGTACTTCTACATGAAGCACTCTTCTAAAAAATCAAACTATTAAACAATCTTAATAAAATATATATTTAAGACAATACGACAGAAGCAAGACATATATGTTTAAAGGCATAATTGCCAAAAGTCAAATCACAAGACTCAATGGAATTTAAATACTCAGTTTAAATACAGTAAGAACTTAGTAATACAGTAAGAATTTAAATACAATTTGGTAAACAGTTTGATTCCAGAGTAATACAGTAATGCAGTAAGAACTGAATATATATGTTGTAGTAAAATATAGTCTGATTCCAAACTGAGTATCTGTTAATAGTAATTTAATAATTAATGGAATAAACTGATATATAAAAAAATTCTTAAAGCTACAATATAGTCTGATTAATTCTTCAAGCATATTAATGAACACTGCTCGTGTTCATAAGTCTGATTCCCTGCCAGTATATAACATGCTTGAATATAGTCAATATACCAGTGTAAAACAATATGCAATTGTTAAAAAATTGTTAATAAACCAGTGTTCTAACACTACAATATATATTACATAGTATTATGATATTATCATTGGCATATAATATGTAATAAACTAATAAACTATAAAATAATACATATTTAATTAATAAACTATCACACAAATTCAATTCTGTAAAATTATACAAACAGATTTGTAAATATAAATAATTTAAATAATTTTACAAATTAAATATAAAAACTAAAATACTTAAAAAACTTACTAACTTAAAAGACTTAACTTTTTTCCAGTTATCTATCAAAACTTATAAATAGTGAAAGATAATACTACGTATATATCAGTTATCTAACTTTTTATTTAAATAATTTTAATATTTATATAAATATATAAATATAACAAACTTAATATAAAAGAGAATATATAGCAGAGGAAAAAAAAGGTAAAGAGACTTACCTCTGCGACGCGAGATAGCAGCGAAAGAAAAGTCGGAAGACTCAAACGCGAGATACAGCGGAAGCAAAGGAAAAAAAATGGAATGGGAATCGGCAGAGTAATTTCTTCCGACACTTCCATTAGGCGCGAAAGACGCTCGCCTCTCAGTGGTGCAAAAGGCGCTAAAAAGCGTGCAAAGCGCTCGCCTCTGAGAACTTGAGCCGCCTGGGCATGTAAAATGTGATAAACCTGTCGCTTGAATGCGCATCGCGCCTAGACGCGCTTTTTTAAACAAAGGTTAGGACTAATTAATACTAAAAGTTACGAACTTTTTCAAAAAAAAAAAGGATGACACCCCATCCCTGAGGGCCCCCCAACACCGACCGGACGGCACGATGGGAGGATGTAAATTGGACTATAATCACAATCTGACAGATAGAGAGTGGGGCTCTGTCCCCGGTACTTGCAGAGGCCCTATGCATTTTTCAGCATAGTAACCCCTCATCGCATTTGCCGGGATTCGAACCTGAGACCTAACCCTTGTGGCACTCCCTCGCTACCAGTTGAGCTACGCTCATCGATGTTACGAACTTTTTCAGATGCTACTCTCGGTAACATCTTAAAAAAGATCTTTTAATTTATAAAATTTTGTTATCAAATATAAAACTAGAAACTTTTAATAGAAACTTTTAGAAACTTTTTGAATAATACAAAAATTAGAAATTAGAAAGGAGGGACTTATGCCCGCAGTAGCCTAAACCTAGACAAAAAAAAATCAGTTTCAACTTTTATGGCGAATCATCTTCCCATTTTAAAGCACACTCCGTTTGTGGTGAGCTAGCACTGGATCTTTGATTTGAATGGATGCAAGGCCAGAGCTTGAAACGGGTCGGATCATTTCACAAACGGTGCCACCCTGTTGCCATCAGCCCTTTAACGGCTCAAAGATCAATTCTTTATCAAACCCAGAACACAGAAATGGCGACTCAATCCAAAAGACGATCCATGTGCCCGGCATGCTCAAAACCGACCCGCCTCTGCCTCTGCACCCGCCTCAAGGTTCCAAAGCTCCACAACTCCATCGCCGTCACAATCCTTCAGCACAGTTTAGAGAAGAAGCACCCTCTCAATTCCACCAGAATAGCATCCATCGCCCTCCAGAATCTTAGTGTGATCCCAGTTTCCGATGTCAATTCCCAGGCCCGGTTTTTAATCCGGCGCTTGTTTAACTCAAACCTTGAAAGGTCGAGTAGCTGTGACCAACACGTCGTCGGTTTTGCAGTTGACAAGTACGGCACAGTTCTATCTTTCCAAGATGTTTGGATGATGGAAAATGGGTCACAGCCAAGATGTGGTTTTGATCGGTTATTGGCTTCAAGAGAAGCTGTTGATGATCTGAGCAAAGGGTTTGTGGTGAAAAAGTTGCAAACAAAGCCCTTGAGGGGAGGCATTGGGCTTGAGGGGTATGTTTGTTTGGGCCTCACAATAAATTTCTAGAGCAGGAAAATAAGTGCTGGGGTTTTTTTTATTTACCAACACTGAGTAAAGATTATATAAGGAGTATTTGTATACAGGAAGTATATATGTTGATATATTCCTTCCAATTTTAATCCTTCTCTGATTTTATCCTCTTGTCTTTCCTTGACAAGCATGTTGAGAGACCAAGACGAAGAAGAAGAGAATGAAGAATTTGAAATTAGAGTTGGTGCTGGGTCAGTGTTACTTTTCCCAAGTGAGCGAGCAGTGAGGGTTGAAGATCTGAGAGGTGTTGAAGTGAGGAATTTGGTAGTGTTGGATGGGACTTGGAGTAAAGCTAAGAGAATGTACAAAGAGAATCCATGGCTGAAACTGCTGCCACATGTGAAACTTGATGTGTTGGATGGGATGAGCAGCTTGTATGGTGAAGTGAGGCATCAACCAAAGGAGGGATACTTCTCCACCATTGAGAGCATTGTGTATGCACTCAAGGCTCTGGGCGAAAAAGATGATGAAGACTCAAAGGGCGGCTTGGATGATCTGCTCGATGTTTTTGTGTCCATGGTTGCAGATCAAAGGCGATGCAAAGATGAGAGATTGCGCCAAGCCAACCAAACAAACTTCTTGTAGTTATACTCCCTCCCCTTCCTCTGTGTTCCTATCCATCCAGCATGTATAATGCTGCTGCATCAAGTTTCTTTCTTTCCTTCTTTCTTTTAGCCTTTTAGGTAACATTTCTTTTTTTTTGGGAACCCTTTTAGGTAACATTTCGTCCATTAACTACTTTTTTGTTACTCCCTCATCCATTAACTAGTGTCTAGTGTTCCATAAAATTTGATCAAAATTAATTTATACACATAATAATGAAGTAACAACATTGTTATTGAAATTTACGCAGAGGAAAAGTAATTTTAACTACATATTTATTACTTTAGTTTAAATGGAAATGATAAAGCATTTTGGAATAGTTGTCAAGACTTGTGGGACGGAGGCCCCAAGGAGTTTGTTTGCATTCCTAGGCCAGGGGACTTAAACCATGAGAAAGATTAGGCGATCTAGTAGCAGGTGTTTCCACCACCCCCCCCACCCCCCCCCCCCCCCCCCCCCAAAAAAAATCTTTTTCTTTTCTTCCCCAAAAAACTGGTACTTCCCAAACACCCTAACTCCATTGTGGGTACCAAATAACTCCAGCTTGGTAGCAATACGAAGGAGGGAGGGATTCAAAGCAACAAGAATGACATGATGAACATTAATTCAAATTTGATAAATACCATAAAGTAAATTAACCAAAAGACAAGCCAAGATTCAAGATAAAAGTAAACCAGGACAACATGGATTACAGACCATTGGACCAAGAGATGTTTGGACATTGATATGGATAACTGCCCCATCCTCACTTGCTCTACTAAAGAAAAAGAAAAATCTCCGAGTGGCATGCCAATCACCAAGCATCTTCATAAAAACCAGTCACATTACACTGATGACAGACCTAGCCTGCCATGATCGACTGACAGGTCACAAACCGTTGCTGCTCTCACTGAAAATACCAAAAAACCATAAAAGTTTCATTGTTCATCTCAATAAGAGTAAACATAACATGATGTACAACTCACAAAATCTTTTACAAGTTCTACACTAGTAAACAGTACTCTTTTCAGAATCTTTATTTATAAAAATTTAACCAAATTGGCTTTGCATCATACCTGCTGGGGTTGTTGGTAATTTGCATATCCAGGGTAACCTCCATAATACATGTTAGGGTCTTGCGCAGGGGGGGCATATCCATAGGCATCATAACCTTGTGCATACCCATAATAGGCACCACCTGCGCCTCCACTACCAGCACCACCCCACTGAGTCTGGCCTGCCTGTTTGCTAGATGGGTTGCGTCCCCATGAAAGACGGACATTCTGCTCTCCTAGCTTGACTCCCTGAAGGCCTGATAAAGCCTGCTCAGCAGATGCCCTGACAAAGTGAAAATGAATAATTAAGATACAATACATAACTTTCATGAAACTCAGAGAATGACAAGGGGAAAAGATAGAACATAAATTTGGAACGAAATGATATGGGAGGAGTATAAAACTCAAGTATTCAATTTTAGATATTTTTCAAAGATCAAACTCATTTTATTTATATAATTCTGCTATTTAAAGACTAAAAATCTAAATATTTCTTTTAAGGGAACGCGATTTTCAGACATTATGATTTTGCTTTATAGTTTCTATTGAAACCCAAGCATTAGTCACACAAAAAATTGTGTCTTCTTACCCATCCTTACCATTTTCCAAGTCCCAAACATAGCCTAAATCTAAATTCTTGCTCACCTATTAGAAAATTGGACAAAACCACACCGCTTAGCTGCAACTATTTTGACATGAATGAGGTCACCATATGGTGAAAATACACTTCTCAGATGGTCCTCTGAAACATTTGGGTCCAAACCCCCAACAAATATCTGCAATCATAAATGAGTTAAAATGTGTGCATTCCAATACTAAATCGATTATTGTCAATTTGGGACAAGCTACTCACTGTTGTATTATTAGGGTCACTCTCGCCTTGACTAGCTTGAGGGTTTTGATATGTAGCTACAGTGACAAAAAATTGAATGACCAAAGATTAACTCAAAGAAAATGATGAAATCAAATATTCATGGGTTGGATATTCAAGAAAAAATATTGCAACAGAACCACTAAGGCACAACACACAATGCATATGGCAGGGTATTCACTACCATGCCAATGCAACAACACATATTCACATTGGTATAGTAATAATGAATTAATGATGCAGAATAAGATATTTGTATCTCCAGGCAAGCAACCATGATCAAAGATCATGCAACAGTGTGATCCAAAAAACACTGTTGGACAAATAAACATAATTCATGACAGCAGAAAGAATCCAACCACTTGCAGCAAACAACCACACCTAAAGACCCACTTACATTAGTAATTTTATTTACTTATTTAGGTATTTATTACTCCCTCCGTCCCGAATTGTAAGGCACTTTATGGTTTACAAAGTTTGACCGACGATAAAGCAAACGGATCCATGTCCGCGCTCAAATTATTTTTAGAAAAAAAGAATTACATATTCAGAAATTACATTAAAAGCTTTACAAAGTCGCAAAAACCATGATCAAATTTGATAGAAAATTTGATATATAAAGTAAGAGATTAAGAGTGATTTGTGTTGACCAAGTGAATAGGAAAGATATCTTACAAAATGGGACTGAGGGAGTATCATTATATTTGACGGAGGGCACTGCACAGTTCTGTTCAAACCTTGTCACGGTAGACTTAATTAAATTTCACATTACCTCATTCACTATGAATTTTGACGATCTTGAAAAAGAAAAGGAATAACGTTTGTTCTGTTTTTATGGCTTCGAGTTTGTTGTGCATGGAAAGTGGTAACATGAAAATGTAATGACAACCACTCCATTAAATAATGGATTCAATCGCTGAGAACCTCTATTCGACACCTAGGTTTGACATTGATATTGCCAATTTCAAAAAACATTGTATCATGTTTATTCAAACACTGCTTGAATAATACTTGAACATAGGTGTCTTAGGTTATGTGCCCACCCCTTTTGTTGGATTATAAGGGATTATAGTGTATACAAGCTGATACCACTTAAAACCATGAAAGTATCTGCTTCAGCCAACCAAATAATCAGCTACCTGTGAAAACTGTAAATCTTAAATATAAATATTGTGTGACCTGAATTGTGGAATGAACTACACAGATACAAAAAAACTGGATGGGTATCTTAAGAGAAAAACTCAGGAAGCAATACATTAGATGTGGATATGGTATAAAGCCATACCTTACACTAAGCAAGGGAGTTGAACACATAGGAATGTTTTGATGCTTGAGAATCGCTAATTTGAATGGAATATTCATGAGAGGAATATTGTGGTGTGTTATTTAATAAATGGAATGGAAAGAAATGGCTGAACATGAGTTCAATTGAATATTACGATATAAATGAAATAGGAAAGCAGCAGAAGAAAAATTGCAGCACTTGAAGATTGTGAAAATCAATTTACGAAGGCTTGTAACTATTAAGTATATTGACACTAACTTGATGTAGCATAAGAGATGCCACAAAACCAAAATAAGGAAACTCGTTGCATAAACAATTAACTGACCTAAAATGAGGCCACGCATTAAAGTGGAATCATTTCAGCTGAAAATCAGTTCCAGGCCCCTATATACGAGAGCCTATGTGTTCCTGCTTTGAGACAAGATGAGTTTTATAAGTTTATGCAAGTTTTAGCATAAGTAAAGTGGTCCAATTTTACAATGGCAAGTGTGGAAGAACATGATTGCAAAATTCTCAAAAACCTTTAAGTGTGCAAGCGATATGTATAGAAACTATGGCTGAAAAAGGGCATGACTGAGATGATTATCAACTTTTACACTGAGAATTGTAAACAAAGCAAGCAACACACCAACAATATGCTCACCGATTTAATCAAAAGCAACACCATCAAGAATAAACTCATCAGATTACCAAATATAATTTGAAGATAGGGGAGCTTTTAGACAGAAAAGCAAGCAAGATATAACTAAGTGCTGAATAAAGTACATGAGCAAACCTTTCTGATGTGTATTAACAGGGTTCTTGTTAGCAGCTGGTCCGATCCTCATAGGCCTACTTAAGCACACCACACCATTCATCTCAGTCAAGGCACGTAATTGATCACTCTCATCCCCAAACCTGACAAACCCATAGCCCTTGGAAAGCCCAGTTTCCCTATCAGTGACAACTTTTGCACCTTTCACTGATGAATACACGGCTTTAAAAGTTTCTAGAAGGCATTCATCGTTCACTTCAGCAGCCAAATCTCCGACAAAGATGGTGAAATCTGGTGTATCATCACGCCTCTCGCCAGCTCCAAATGTTGCCCAGTTCAGCCTGAAGTTTTGATCAGAATTTGGCATGAGTGATCCGTGATATGTTTGTAAGATATTATCTGCAGCTGCTCGACTCCGGAACTCGATAAAGCCATAACCCTCAGATTGACCAGTTAGCTTGTTGCGGATGACCTTTGAGGTCACAAGCTGTAAGACAAAAAAAAATATCAGAGATACTTCAGTTTCAGTTATTGAAAGAAAATACTAGGAGTATTTCATGTATTATATTTAATCGAAAGGGAATTGCTTCATCATATAGGTTGGGTAAAATGGTTGTCAGCCTTACACTAGAACAAAGGTCAGATTTTGAGTTGTCAAGAAAATATGAAAACCCTAAAACTTCCTAATTTCATTAATTTTCAAGTAGCCATAAAAGTAACAGATGAACCTTCTACCAAACTTATTCTCAAAAAGCTAAAAGCCTTTAAAAGTTGCTATTTTCATAGTTTTCAGGTAACCATACAACCAAAAAATGCCAAATTATTTTCAACAATAAGACTAATGAAGCTAAAGGGAAAACTTTCGAATAATCTAGATGCATATACTAACCTCTCCGGTATGAGCAAAACAGCCATTAAGATAATTCTCATCCATCCAGAACTGCAAGTCCCCAATCCACAGAGATTTAATCTCGTTGGAGGCCGATGCAGAGACGGGAGCCGTACCGGAGGGGAGAGAACCGTACTGTTGAGCCTGTTGAGGCATAGACATGGCATGTGGCATCGGCGGTGGCTGATGAGGAAGAGGCATGGCGTGCGGCATCGGCGGTGGCTGCTGAGGCCAGACGGTCGGAGGATGAGCTTGCGGTGGAGGCACCGACATCCACGGCGGATACTGCGGTGGATGCTGAGCCGGATTGGTTTGCATCGG